AGAGATAAGAGGATAAGAATTTTTAAAAATGAATCTCATTTTATTGTCTATCACTATGAGCTTCTTGCTTGGCTCTCTTTCTGTGAGTGACCTCCCGGTCTCTGACTTTGTGAACACTTTTTCTTTTTACCCTTTGTTCCTTCCTTAAAGAAAAAAAGGCCTGTTATAATAGAAATGAATAATCTAATGGTATCCAGCTGCTACTCCCCACAGCTAGGCTCCTTGTCTCTCCTTCTTGCATATACGTGTTGTCACACACAAGTATAATGTATACAGCTCAGACATCTTAACAGACGCCTCTACCCAGCCTGCCCTGAATGTAGTTGCCAACCCAACACCTCACTCCCGGTCACTGGAGAACAGATTGCCCGTTACATCACTCAAGTGGATTGTTCTCATTTCTCCCTATGGCTTATGTTCCTTCTGGATGCTTTTGAGCTCGTAGTTGGGGAGAGGCGAAACATATTCTGCATTTTAAGATTAATAGTATATATAGTCGACTTTTACAAGCCTAGCACACCCTAGGGACTGACGTTTAATAGATGTTAATGGAATTTAATTTTTACACACCCTATGTGAGAACATTTATCTTTGAAATAAAATGCTGTGAAACCTTACGTGGCACCATGAAAATTTCAAAGCACATTATTTTTTACTCTATATCCTTAAATCAAGTTACAGAGTCTGAGCAAAGTGGAAAAGCTGTTTCTTGATATTTAGAATTTAAAACCTGAATATAATTATCATTAATTTATTACACTGAGAGTATCAATAGGCATTTTGCCAGACTTATTACCAACACAAAACAATTCTAAAATGGTGCCTAAAAAGAAAGTTTTTTCACAACCTACTTTTCCATTGATTTTCATTAGGCGAGAAGTTCTTTCTGCAATAAATAAATGAATAAATAAATAAATCTGGCCCCAAACAAATTAAATAATTAACAGCATGATGAATGTTGCATAAATTTCTATGTAAGGAAAAAAACCTCTAATAAAGCAATACCACTCAAAAGTACTTGTAAAATTGTAGGTACTTGACAGTGCGTGTTGAGTACATTAATTTGTTCTAAGGCTATGCCTAGGAGCATAATAGCCACTTGTTTTTAAAGTACATTTTTGTCTGGATGTGAAATATAGTTTAATTTTAGATTTTGGTTAATGTTATAATTCATAGAATTTGGATAATTAATTAAAGATATTAGAAAATGTCACCTTTGTAATCTTCCTAATTCATGAACTAATATATAAAAAAAACTATCCATTTATTCTCTACATATTTAAAATGCTGAAATCTCTCCAGTTCCAAGTAATGAAGAAAACTCTTCTCTTTTTACTTCAGTGACTGGCACTGGAATGCCAACCTAATAAACATTTGATGAGTAAATGAATGATTTTGACAGGAGCCAGGCACTTACAGAAAAAATGAGGTAATATAGCAACCTTGCAAAGAGCATATGAGGAAACAGATCTGGTTCTTATCCTGCTTCTGTCATGGGCTAGCTGTGTGATCTTAGGTAAGTAACTTGACCTTCTTGAGCCTTGACCTCCTCCACGTAAATGGGGATGTCTGAGATAATCTCGAAGGGCCTCCTACCCCTCAAACCCTAGTTTGAGATCTTAAAATTAGCCAATCATTCTTGCCAGTTTGACTTTGGACTTTAGCCATAGGTAGAGACACATTTAGGCTAAAAAACCTCTGCATTTGAAATCACATGTAGTAGCCTCTAGAACTAAATCTGTTTAGGTTCACTATGCTAAGGCAAGTAGTAGGACAGGAGCCCGGGTGCCTGGGTGGCTCAGTAGGTTAAGGGTCTGCCTTCGGCTCTGGTCATGATCTCAGTGTCCTGGGGTCGAGTCTCACATCGGGCTCTCTGCTCAGTGGGGAGTCTGCTTCTCCCTCTCACTTTGTGTTCTCCCTCTCTCTCTCAAATAAATAAATCAAATCTTAAAAAAAAAAAAAAAAAAAGACAGAAGCCTGAGGGTTCACACATAAGAGATGTGAGCAAGTGTAGGAGACAAGAGAAGTAGAAGGATATCTAGAAAAGGCATCATAGTTCACAAGTCTCCAGATAACAGGTTTTCTTAGAGGTAACAGCAAGTTTTATTTATGACTGATTAACAACTGATTAATTTATAAAAGGCTTCGCTTCCAACGAGAGCACCAGAATGCTTTATTTCCTAATTGGATGGTGACTTTGCCCATAAATAAAAGAGAATCACTGCTTCCTGTTGGGGAGACAGTTTGACATGGCAGGTTTGTTCTTGTCTCTGTCCTGATTTACTGTATGACCTCGTGCCAGTCATTTATCTTCCCCCAAACCAGTTTTACTAATTACAAAATGGAAATAAAAATACTTGCTGCCTTCACAGAGGATTAATGAGACAAGGTGAATGTCTCAGCTCCCAGGGGGTAAAAGGCTGTAGATAAGTAAGTAGAGAACTGCTAAGTAGAAGTGCAGGACTTTCCACACCACTTGGGAAAGAAAAAAATCCACAACAATAAAACCCTGGAGCTTTAAGTTTCCTAGTCTAAAAAAGGGGGGGGGGCGCCCCTCTTACAAATGGTCCAATTTTCCCTCCAGCATACACTGGAGCCTGGGAAGGTCAGCCGCCAGGAGACAGGCGCGGAATTCATTCCTCCAGAGTTCTAACCCTTGCTCCATCGTGAACAGGAACATCCTGGGGGGGAAATTAGTGCTCTGCTTCCTCAATGTCTTCTTCTGTAAGATACTGGTTATCATACTATGTAGAGACATGGAGACACAACTACAGATGCCTGACATACAGTGAGTTCCAAATAAATACCTCTTCTGTCTTCAGCAGCATAATTCAAACTGCTGGAATATTTTCCTCCTCAAAATCACAGGTTCTGATGAAAGACCGTTGGGGAATAAAGGTAGACGTGATGTAACATCTCTGATTTAAAAGGGGCGCGGGGAACTAATATAAAGCTTTGATTCAGCTCACTTTCTTATGCTGAATAAAATGTGTTTGGACAACGCCTTAAAATTCGCCAGCGCGACCGCAAGGGGGCACTGTGAGTCTGCTTTGTCGTGGGAGAGGCGCCCTCAGCGCGGGGCGGAAAGGGCTGGACGCTTCTAGCATCCCAGCGCCCAGGAGAAACGCACCCCGTAGCTCGGGCTCCGGAAGGAGTGGCCTTGATGACCCAGCCGGGGCGGGGGACGAGGGGGCTACAGGTAGCCCGACAGCTCTACGCGCTCGTTCCCCTCCCACTCCGCAACAGGTTCCTTCCTGGCAGGTTCTTCCTGGCGGCTAGCTGTTCTTGATGGGGGATCCGCTAGTGCCTGAGCTTGGGAAGCCAGACACCCTTCCTCTGCCACCCCCCAAACTGTAGGGAACATTTGGGGTGTACCTGCGTCGGGTGTTTTGCTAAGCAAAAGGGGTCAAAGCTGTTTGTCGTTTGGTTCTTTAAGGGGTCTGTGTCCCTAAAGGGGTTAAGCTCTTCTGATTTAGGAAAAGAGGACCTCCTCTCCCTAAAACCAAAAAAAAAAAAAAAAAAAAAAAAAAAGGCCAACTGCGCGGTTCTGGAAACGACTTTGAAATCACCAGTTGTCTGTGGCCAAGGTCCGGGCCAGCGGATGGCACTCCCCACCGGGACTCCTTCAGGAACAGCGCCCAATTTAGGTCCTGAAATACCTCAGCTGCGAAGTTGAATCGCCCTTCTGCGAAAGGGGAGAAGACGGTGAACTTGCCCCACCAGGTACCTGGACCAAAATTCTCTCAGCCCCAAGAAGAGTCAGATGATTAAGGAAATTTAGGCCATGTACTCGATCTGTCCCCCTGCCGCTCGGGTCCCCACCCCCAGGCGTTTCCCCAGCCAGGCACCGGCAAGACGGAGAAACTCGATTGATCCCGTTCCCTAGAGAGAAGGTGCCGCGGGCAGAGATGTCCGAGCGTCTCCTCTAAAGCGAGCTGGGTGGTGGAGCATCCATGTCCCCGCGATCCCGGGCGGGAGGAGTGAGCTCTGCTTCCCAGGCTCCGGGACGGAGCGCCTGGAAGCGACCCTGGGGACAGCTGCCCGGCGAGCTCGGGCAGAATTCACGGTGGGCGGACCGGCGTGGAAGCACAGTGGAGACTAGGGTGAAAGAACCCGGCCGATAGTAGGGTGGGGGGCCGGGTGGAACGCGCCAGCCGAGGGGAAAGTGTGACCCATCCCAAACTTTCGCAGACTCTGGGGCCCTACGAAGGAAGAGCCAGGCAGAAGCACCAGCTTCTTCCACCGCCCGGCGCGCCCAGCTGCAGCGAGAAGGGGCGGCACGCAGCGCCGGCTGGACGCGGGCGGTCCCCTGGTCGCGCCCACCCGCCGGGCTCAAGTGCCCCCGCGCGGGGCTCGGGGCCGGCCTGCACAGAAGCAGCCAGACCGCTCGGCCTGCGCGGCGGCTCCGAGGAAGGGGCTGCAACTCGGCTTGGGCCAGGAGGAGGGACACTTGGCCTCGCAGCCTCGCCCGACCAGGTCGGGGGGGGACGTGCCCTGGGGCGGCGAGCGAGCCCGCCGGCTGAAGTCGGGGAGGCTCGGGAAGAAGTGAGCGCAGAGATGTCCACGCGCTAGATGATTCGGATTAAAAAGAAATGTACAAAGCGATCCAAGGCCACCGCGCGAGCCCGGCCGCTTAGAAGCCACCCCCCTGCGCACCAGGACGGCGGCGACTGGCACTCGCGAAGACGAGGCGCTCCCGGGCGGCCGCGGGTCTGCGCGGAAGAGCCGCCTCCTCAGCGTGGGGCGCGCATTCAGACGCCGGCGGCGGCCAGAAGCCGAGATGTGGCGCGCGGCTCCCGGCCGGCCCCGGCCGGGCAAACTCCGGGCGCGCCCCGCGCGCCGCTGACCCCGCGCGAGTCCAAGGGCTGTGCCGGCCCCGCCCGCCTCCGCCCCCTCCCGCGCCCGTGCGCGCCCCTCCCCGCGGCGGCGGCGGCGGCGGCGGCGGCGGCGGCGCATCCAGGGGCGGCGCGGAGAGGCTAGCCCAGCCGCCAGTGCCTGCGAGCTCCAGGCTGCTTGGGGACTTCACTTCGCCGCTTCTCCGCTTCTCCCTCCCGGGGCTTCTCCTGGTGGCTCCCTGGCTCCGGCCCTCTCCTTTCCTCTGTACGGAAAACTTCGCTGCTATTTTTTTCCCCTTGGAGGAGAGGATTAAAAGTTCCCAGAACTGGTGCCGCCCGTGCGGCTCGGGCGCTGGGACGGTGCTCGCCGGTGGGGCTCGGGTCCCACCATGTGCACCAACATAGTTTACGAGTGGCTGAAAGCGCTGCAGCTCCCGCAGTACGCGGAGTCCTTCGTGGATAACGGCTACGATGATCTGGAGGTGTGCAAGCAGATCGGGGACCCGGACCTGGACGCCATCGGGGTGCTGTTGCCCGCGCACCGCCGCCGCATCCTGGAGGCCGTGCGCCGGCTGCGGGAGCAGGACGCCGCCGCCGCCGGCCTCTACTTCACGCTCGAGCCGCAGCCGCCGCCCGCGCCGCCCGCGGTCGCCGTCCCCACCGGCCGCCGGGGGGAGCCGTGTGGCAGCCCGGCCCCGGGCACCCGCGGGGACCCCCGCGGCCAGACGACCGCCCCCCGCAGCAGGGAGCTGGTGAGCTACCCCAGACTGAAGCTGAAGATCATGATCAGGGACAAGCTCGTCCGCGACGGCATCCACCTGAGCAAGCCCCCGTACTCCCGCAAGGTAAGCGGGCGCCGCCCGGACCGCGCGGGGCGCGCGGCGCGCGGCGGGAGGGGACTCGGCCCCACCGCTGCGGCCCGTTCCCGGTGACGACGGGGAGGCGAGGATGCTTTGGGTATTTGGGATTCTCTACTCTGTTCTTTCTGCATTCGCTCTTTATTCCTTCTTTCCTGGTGTCACCAGCGGTTGGTAAGACGAGATCCCACACCCCGATGTCAGTTCTAAACTAGGACCAAGTCTCCGCTTAGTGCCTGGTGCTCTCCTGTCAAGACCTGGATGAGCGGCCCTTCTCCAGGAGCAGAGGGCAGCTCCTGATACCCCCGGGAGTAGTAATTAGGTCGGAAGGGTACCAGAATGTCAATGCCACGTGGGTTCCCTCTCTTTTTGAGAAACGTCCAAAGGGAAATTAGCTAACTCTTTAAAGAGTGGGAAATCACGCCCTGTTGCTCTCAGTTCCATACAGTCGAATGCCTTCACTGCTGCACATTTGAAAAGTGAACCACTGACATGGCCATTCTGGGGGAAAAGTTAAATGTCAGTCCTTGGGATGAGTTTCTTCAACTTAAGTGCAGAGAGGGAATCGGTGCTAAAGACATTGGAGGTAATGGGGCCAGTGAGGGTGTTCTGCTGAGGTCTTTGCTGGGTCATCAGTTTAGTTTACTCTTAATCCAGATGAGACGAAGGAGGTACAACTAAGGGTTCTAGAAAGTCCGAGTGGACTCCTGTTTGGGAGGAGAGAGCACAGCCCAAGGAAGTGTGATTTTCAGTGGCCAGTGAGGAATCCCCAGGGAGACATCACAGGGAAGGAGCTGGGAGGTTATGGAAAGGACCATGTGCGGAAAGCTGAAATATGGACTTGGGCGTGGAATAATTAAGTAACAGAAAGTCTTGTTTTCGTACAAGGTCTGTCCCTCCAGCCGAGTATTCAGTTTAGGTTTCTGGAGCCATCCAAGTAGAGGGTCCTGCCTTGAAAGGGAGAAGTAGGCAGCACAGGTACTCCCCAAGCCTGCGTGGAGTTACCCAAGAAAAGGAGCCCCTCAGCTGGAAATCATGTAGAGAAGCCCAGAGGGAAAAGGTGGTGAAGAAGCTGCAGCTGGGGGTGGGGGTGGGGGACAGCTGTAAACAGCACCTGAACAGAGAAATATGGGTTATCTAAATGTTTTGTGCTCATCTTAGTCACTTGAGTTGCTTTATATTTTTAAGTAAAGATCATGATGTCTGGATTTAAGGAAGGGCAAGCGAAAACTTTCTTAAAAAGTGGATAGGTAGATGGGAATGAAGGGTTTAATATTGTCCGTAGGTTATCTTGCAAGAAAGATAGGCAATTCAGATAACGTGCTTGGGAGTATAAATTTGTTTTATAAGGCAGGTCTGAAGGACAGTTTGCCTCAAATTAAACACATATTTCGGTTACCCACGCTGTGTTACCGATGTGTGCCCTAGACAGAGGAATAGAGAGGAAAGCACACTTTTCCCAGGCAGGTAGCATTAGTCCTGTTTGGTGTGGATAGATGGACTGGACCATTAGTATAAAGGCTCATTCCTGGAGATAGCGGGTCAGAGGAGTTCAGTCGGGTCAGACTTTTCAATTTACATCCCAGGAAGTGAATTGGGTGTGAGCTGAGAAGATGTGAGCACGTGGGCACGCAGTGAGGGTGAAGGTCAGGGTCTGGCCAGAAAGGGCTACCGAGAATAAGGTGTGTCCCTAGGGCTTGCTTATTCTTCAGGAACAGAGCTGCGTCCAGACAAGAGGGTAGAGGAGAGGGTGGGTTGGAGGGGAGAGTGGTGTGCAGGAAGTATCATATTTTGGTTCTGATACTTAAAAACACAGGCATAGATATCAAACTTTAGAGGCTGAGAAAGATTCTTGTGTGGACATGAAATGTGTGGGTGTAGGTTTCGGACCTAGATCAGTGTGGGATATGGTAGTGCGTTTGAGCAAGTGTGATTTACAGAAGACAGTTTCACCTTATGTCGTAATACTGTTTACTTTCCGTGTAAATGATTACTTCAGTCAACTCCTATATAAATCCTCTAACAATGTTTGAGAATGAAGATACATCCCATTCACTTCCCATACACATTTAATTCTGGTTCTTGAACTGATGAAAGAACAGAGTGGGGGCAGAAGTGGTTTTGTACCTCCATTGATACTCCGCCTGTGAACCAGAAAAACAGAGATGACAAATTAAATTGTAAAGAAAAAGTTCTATTCCTGTATTTTTATATATTTGTTACAAGAAAAACACACAATAGGAACTGAAATATAATGACTGTATCCCAAACGGAGCATCTCAGTGTATAGTGCCAGATCACGCTGGTCATTCTGAATTTGTTGCTTATGTGTACATTGCCTCTAAAGTTTTGGGTTTTAAATTATTTGAGAATTGTCTTCTGACGCAGCTAGTTTCTGTGCAGATAGCGCTAGGACTTTTCTTTAAAATGTGATCCATGTTATAATATCTCCAGGTTCCTTGGCTCTGTCATGATCAGAATGCGTAGGTGTTCATTATGTGCATTTGGGATTCTGCTTATTGGAGCGAGCCTCACGTCTCCTTTATAGTCCTTTGCATCATTGATCCCTGTGATTTTTTTTTTTTTTTTTTTTTTTGGTATATTGGTAAGAATGTAAGATGGCTTGAAAGCGAGTTTATACCATGGATGGTCAAGGCAGGAATAGCAAATCTTTTATAGAGGAAAATAAATTGAGGAGTTTTCCTAAGAATACCAGAAAGGGCTTCAGGATTGTAGGATTTGCTTCAGGAACAGTTAATGTTTGGGGTGCTGTTCTGGCTTCATCTTACCAACTGCTGCCACCTTCCCCTCTTAGGTGAGTTGCAGTGTAAGTAAAAGGTAAGTTTCTCTTTGTTTCCCAAAGACAGTAATTAAAATATAAGTTCAAAGTAAGTTTCCCTTTGTTTTTCCAAAGAAAGTAATTAAAATGTAAGTTCAAAGTAAGTTTCCCTTTGTTTTCCAAAGCAAGTCTGCAGCTTTGGAAAACCAGGAGCCTGGAAAGAACACTGCTTGAAATCAAAAAGCATTGGAGGAGTCCCTCTTCTGTCCTGTATTTAACTTCTGTGACTGCTGTGATTTCTGCCTTAGTGGGATGGGATATGTTCTCATAGGGTGGGACTTAGATATAGCTTTATACATGAGATCTCAGTACTTCACCAGGCTTCCCTACAAGCCCCTAGGCTCCAGGTTGCTGTGCTTGGCAAGATGCAGAAGCCCTGCCCTCAGGGAAGACCTAAAGGGGAACAAACAGTCATACTAAAGTGTGATGATTACTTCGGTGGGGAGCGCAGAATGCCATGGACAGGTGCATCCAACTTCATTTGCAGGGAGGTGGGTCGGGGCAGGCTTTCCAGAACTGGCGTTTGGTCAGAGAACCAAAGGTTGGGAGGGTTTGGCCTGAGGAAGAGCAGGGTCCTAAGGGGAAGAATGTTCTAGACAGAACAGTATGTGCAAAGGCCCGGAAGGCAGGAAGTTGAGCATGCAAGAGGGCAACAGGAATTGAAGGGAATTCAGTCTGGCTGGAGCACAGAATGCTCGGAGGAAAAGGCAAGAGATGGAGAGACAGGCAGTGGCTGGTTCTGAATGGCCTTGAACTCCTATTTAGGAATTTGGAGTGTATCTTGAGAGGGGGGCTATTGATGGATCCTGAGCAGAGACAGGGTGAACAATTAGGTTGTTGCAGAGTGTGGGGAGATTTGCTGGTGGCAGGGACTGGGTGGTGACAGTGGGGGAGGAGCAGTGGAGGTAACTGATGACTCTCTGGCTGCCAGGGGTGCGAGGGGAGAGCTTGGGGTGACCTGCAGATTTCTGGGTTAGGATTACGATGCTGTTCCCTGACGAGGTAGGGGACCCGAAAGAAGAGCACGTTTAGGGAGAAAGATTTTGCCTTCGGGTATAAACATACAGAGCATTTTCACTCCCTTAAAAATCCTCCTGTGCTCCACCTATTCAAACTCCCCCAAAACCCCTGGCAACCACTGATCTTTCTCCTGTTTCAATAGATTTGTCTTTTCTAGAACATCCCACCGTTGGAAGCATATAGTATGCGGTTCTTTCAGATTAGCTTCTTTCCCTTGGCGATGTGCATTTAAGGTTCTTGCATGTTTCCTTCTGGCTTGACAGCTCATTTCTCTGAGTGCTGAATAACATTCCATTGTCTGGATGTACCACTGACAGCCTTCTAATGAAGTACGGCTGAGAAGACAGAACTAAGGCAATGGAGAAGGGAGACTAAGTCAGGGAAGGGTTTTGCGGGATTATGTTTTTTTTTTTTTTTTTTTTTTTTAAGGTTGAGAGGAGATGAAACATGTCTGAGTGTTGGTGGTGAGGAACCAGAGATAGGGAGGCGTCCCACAGGTCAAGGTCTTGGAGGAGGTGGGAGGGAATTGCGCCGAAAGCACTGGAAGGAGAAGGTGGATTTGCTTTGAGGGGGAGGGGGTGCCTCCTCCATAGTAGGAGAGAGCAGAGGAAGGATGGCTGAGGTGGGGGTGACATTGAGGAGCCCTCGTTTGTCTGTTTGACCATCTGATACCAGTGAGGAGGGGTAAAGTGGAGGGATTAGAGGTTTATGGAGAAGGTTGTGTTCATATGCAGATATTGGGTGCTCTGATCTGGTGCTTATGGCTCTGCATAAACATAAACATCACACAGTAGTGTTTATAGGGTATACGTAAGTGCACGAATGGAGATGGCGCCCTTGTTGTTCATATGTACGGGGTGCAGGTGACAGGCTGTGCATGAGCTTGTGCTGGGTGGGAATGCTAGAGGGCTATAAAGGTATTCTGTTCACTAGCAGACTGGGCAAAGCCAAAAGCAGCCCTTAGGGTGGATAGTGGATGGGGCAGGCTTCTCGACTTTTTCACTTGAAACGTATCTCCTTGCCATACATTACCAGTTAACACTGTTTGAGTTAGTATAACCTTATTTAATAACACTGTAAGAGTGTTAGGCCTCATTTCCACCTCCGCGTGAATCTAATTATGTGACAA